CACACACACACACACACACACACACATACACACACACACACATATATATATATATAATTTATTATTCCTAAAAAATTAATTGAAATTGAATATTTAATCCAAAAATTTTTTTTTTTAGATAAACAGAATTGTAAGATTTCAGAATTGTAAGATTTCGAGTTTTGCATTTGAACTACTTTGTATGTGTGTGTGATTTTATGTTATGATTAAAACATGTCATGATGATTTTTTTTTTTCTGGCTGTTTACAGACTTTTCTCATTTATGGAGTGATAAAAAGAGATATCTAAAAATTCCCTCAGTAAAAATGATTACCTCCAAGATGTCAGCAAAATAAAGCAAGAATTTTGAACCTGGGTTTATCCAGTGATCATATTTTTGTTCGGGAAACGTCTGTAAATTACTGCATATTTAATCAATTAATCCCTCAGTTGCATATTTAAACATAATATTTCCGAAAATACACAATACAAAACAATTGCGATTAAGCAACTGGGGAAAGTTTGGTTATATCTATTAGTTAAAAATTTTACTCCATTCACCCCATTCAACAAAGTCCATTCACATTCATAGTGTCTTGCCTTAAAGGAATAGTTCACCCAACAATGAATGCTGTGTCATCATTTACTCACCCTCACGCCGTCCAAACCTTTCTGTCTTCAGAAGAACTCAAAAGCAGATTTTGTTGTTGAGTGGAGACCCCACTGACCTTCAGTGTATGAACAAAAAACAACAAAAACTATCACATTTATCAAAATATCCTCTTTTGTGTTCAAAGAATGCCGATTTGGAATGGCATTGTTGTAATTAAATGTTCACAAGACGATTGGGAGATACAAGAAGAGGTTCCAGATGAAACCGTTTTTCCACACTTTTTTGAGGACCACATAAGGATAACATCCACATTTGAGATGTTCTCATGTGTTAACAATTTGTTTTAGCAGTTGCTCAAGCAAACAGAATATTTTCCCTTTGGCACTCTTCATTGTTTTTACATAATCATACATAAAGGATTCCACAACACTTTGAAGGTCTACTGAAGCAAGCATCAACCAGGTGACGCATGTAGTTCAGGTCTTCAGAGAGCGTGCGGAGGGATATTTATAGGAAAAGACAATACGCCTTCATTGTCCGGAACAGAGGGAAGATAAATGACCGTAGGGAAAATGAGACCGCTAAGTTTCTCCCTAACACAAACTGAAAAAATAGTTGTGACAGTGCTAAAAGCTCCAGTGCAGTGATGGCCTGCTTTACTTTCCTCAGTAAACGACATCTGAAGACGTGATGCTAAATCACAGAAACCATGATTGTGTGCAAAGTAAAAGAATAGAAAACAGGATAGAGGGTTATTTTATTGTTTTGTTATGTTTAGTGCTGTCAAACGATTAATCGCTTCCAAAATAAAAGTTTTTGTTTACATAATATATGTGTGTGTGTACTGTGTGTATTTATTATGTATATATAAGTACACACACATGCATGTATATATTTAAGAAAAATATCTTATGTTTATATATTAAATATATTTATATATAATATAAATTATATGAATATAAAATGTATACATATAAATGCATGTAAATATTTTCAAAATATATACTGTGTGTGTGTATTTATATATACATAATAAATTTACGGAGTACACATACATTTATTATGTAAACAAAAACTTTTATTTTGGACGCGATTAATCATTTGACAGCGCTAGTTATGTTTGTATTTATTTATTTCATTTTTTTCTTTAATTAAATTTTATTTTCCAGTGGGATCCAAAAGTCTGAGATTGCATTGACATTTTTTTATTTATTTATATATTTATTTAACCTGGAAATAAACACAATTTTCAGTTTTTAGAATTTTTTTGTGATGTATAAGTAAGAAAAATGTTTAAGATTCTATGCATTTTGCATACGAAGTCCTTTGTACAGATGGCTTGTTCTAAAAAAGAAAACCTTATTGAGTAGTTTGGCACAATATTTTATTATTATTTCTTAGAAACAAATTAGTGAAGCAGTTTTGTTCAAATGATATTTGAAAAACTTTTTTGTCTATTAAATCGAAGACGTGTTGTGCGGCCAACATACAGAAAAAAAGCATAAAACTGGAAATTATATCATATCGAGATCTCATGACACTCTAAAATATCAAAGAATTTAACCTTTTAACCTTTTTTTAATTTTAAACTTTTTTTTTTTACTTTGCATTTGTTTTTAAAGTAGCTTTTAAAAAGATTTTCTCACTTTCTCCATGTTTCTGATGGTTTAATACAGTAAGTTGGGCCTGAGTTTTGTAATAGCTGTTTCGTTTGGGTTTGATGTTTCAGGTTGCAGAGCTGGAGGCTCAGAGCGGGGTTTCTGCTTCCAGTGAGACGGGCAGCGAGGAGCTCACACAGAATATGGCAGAGATGGAGGCTCTTATCCGAGCTAAAGATGAGGTAAAGATTGCTTAATGTAGTAACAGTGCTAACTGACACTGCAAGAAAATCCATCTTGAGACTCATGTCTACCATGTCTACGCTGGACGCTTATAGATCGATCCCATTATAATGTCCACACTGTAAGATGCACAGACACTGTATTATCAATGTCTATTTAATATAAAAAGATTTATTTACAAACAGAATCATGTATGAACATTACTCACACGTGTAAATACAGTGGCAGCCTGTGATGTGGCTTCTAGCTATATATATTTATTTATGTGTGTGTGTGTGTGTGTGTGTGTGTGTGTGTGTGTGTGTGTGTGTGTGTGTGTGTGTGTGTGTGTGTGTGTGTGTGTGTGTGTGTGTGTGTGTGTATCAGTCCAACCAGGAATTGGCATAGATTTTTGCAGCCTAAAATTCTTGAATTTGCTGTGGCCTTTCTCACAATGTACGCCGATATTTGCATTTTTGTGTTGCTTTGGACCCACTAATAATCATGAGGTAATTATGTAATTAGTGTTAGTGACACTGAGAGTACCGTTACCTTTTGTGCATAATTACTGCAAGTACTTCTGCGCTTAATTACTGAAATTGTGATCCTCGTCCCCTATGAACAAGGCAATGGTGACCCCAGCACAGAAATACTCATAAATCTGAAAATATGTGACCCTGGACCACAAAACCAGTTTTAAATGTCAATTTTTCAAAATTGAGATTTATACATCATCTGAATAAATCAGCTTTCCATTGATGTATGGTTTGTTAGGATTGGACAATATTTGGCCGAGATACAACTATTTGAAAATCTGGAATCTGAGGGTGCAAAAAAATCAAAATATTGAGAAAATCGCCTTTAAAGTTGTCCAAATGAAGTCCTTAGCAATGCATATTACTAATAAAAAAATTACGTTATTATATATTTACGGTAGGAAATTTACAAAATATCTTCATGGAACATGATCTTTACTTAATATCCTAATGATTTTGGCATAAAAGAAAAATCAATAATTTTGACCCATACAATGTATTTTTGGCTATTGCTACAAATATACCCCAGCGACTTAAGACTGGTTTTGTGGTCCAGGGTCACATATGGAATTTCTTAAACATAAATTAGTATGTAATCAGGGACACTGGTTATATACTATACATTTTAAATGTTTACAAAATTATTATTTTATGTTTCGCCCCATTTAAAGTCAGTTTTTATACCAGTGAATTTCCATTGAAAATAGAAGCACTTCTACATTTCGCTTCTAAAATGAATCATTTGGTATAGAATATTTACAGTAAAAATGGTTATTACAGGAAATAAAGATTCTACGAAGCAAGAAACCAGATTTAAGTGAGCTGGAGAAAGAACGGGAAGAGGCCTGTCAAAGGATACAGGTAAATTCTGACAACTTTACTGCTAGTCAGGTAAAATACAAAAGTGTTAGCTTCAGACAAGTTTCATTTATAGTTATTTATTAGTATTTTGAATTCGTTTTTATTTTTATATTTTCAGAGTTTTTCTGACATTTTTTTTAGTTTTTGTTTTTCATTCATTTTTATTTCATTTTTTGTTATTTTAGTAAAAAGTTCAAATTCAATTGAGATGATGTAAATATATACTGTATGTATATATATATATATATATATATTTATATTTTATTCTTATGCATTATTGTATTGTTTTAAGTAAAGAAAGTGTTTTTATGGCTTTAAAACTCAGCCGAAAACTCACCTTTTTTCATTATGCTACTCTGTTTATGACCTTTAATTCTATAATATTGTTTCTTTAATGTAATTGTATATTTGTTTCCTTTTGCTTTGTTTTGTTGATATTTGCTTTAGTTTTGGTCTTTGTTTTGCCGCACAATCGTCTCGTATTTCTTGTACCGCAACCCTGAGATCTTGAACGGCGCTATATAAATAAAAAATATTATTTATTATTAGTTTTACTTAACTATAATAACCCTGCTTTGGACTTTGTTGTATAAATATGATCATGTTTTGGTGAGTTAAGATGAGTTTTGCTTATAATGCTTATTTGTCTTGGCATTAGGACCTGGAAGTGAAGAACTCGGAGTTGGATAAACGAGTACGAACAGCAGAGGGCGCTTTAGCTTCGTCCCAGGATGCCCGGAGCAGGGCGGAGAGCGCGGTGCAGAAGGTCATTGAAACTTTAGACGTCAAGATCTACGACTTGAGCGACCTGCGGCAGAACCTAGCCAAGCTCCTGGAGAAATGACCACTGCGCTCAGACAAACGTTACATGGCAATCATGAGGTAGATGAGAACTCGTTCTGTACTGGAATCTTCCCAAGCTGCACAACTCAACGGTTCGTCACGGTACTAGGCTGGTAGTGAAAACTAGCATGACTTTAGGACACATTCATTCCACATTCGCTTCCTGAGAGCCGTGGGTGTATCTTACCAGATGTTTCTCGCACAGAACTGGGCCTGTTTGCTTGAAATAGTCACGAGGAAAATCTTAAACAGACTAGAACTACTTTAGACCTGTTTATTGCTACTAGATAACAATATAGTTGTTAAGATCTGTGACTAGTCTTCTAAATAGAATAAGACTTTGAACAGAACGTTCTGTAGATATAAGCTACCGTTCGATGTGTTTACCAGTATTATTGTTAGATACATAACTAGAACTGAAGAAAGAGAATATCTCACTATTTACGGACACCAGCATGTATCTGTTAGGACGTTAAGTGATTTAAAGGCTTATGGCTCTGCATTTGACAACTTGAGAAAGCACTAACAAAACGTGATATTTCTCTTAGTGACAAACGTGAATGGTTAAGCTTAACTTCTCTTTTTCATTAACTCATTTATTCATTATTTTAACTGGTCTGCTGCAGTCTAAATATGTTGGTAGTTATAAATCAAATGCATTCCTGCAAGGATCAACTGTTTTGCAGAGTACTTTAATTTCTTTAATACTTAACTTTAATACTTTAGTTCAAAATGGCACTTCTAAATGCAACAACCCTTAAGGAAAAACACTTTAGACTTTTTTTTATAGACCACTATCGTTTGCAATACCTCAGCATGCATCTTTATACCAAGCTTTATAGTATATAGTTTTGCTCTTTTAAAAACATGAACTTTCACTTTAACTGTTGTTTTCATTTGACCTTGCTTAGACATTTTCCCTATAACCTTAAAGACGTTTGCACATAATATGCTATTTTTCTATTGTGTGCCTGTTGTTGTTGGTTTTATATGAATTCCCAATAAACATATTTGCTTCATGTGTATAGTCCTTTAACCATTCTTTCACAAGCCTAAAACCCTTAAAGATAGCCTTTATGATACTTTATAAATAGCTATACTTTGAAAATTGTTATTTATTCGGTCGAGTTACATGGCATGGAGTGCAAATAAATGAAGGAATAAACTGCTGCACTTATTGCGTTAACCATGTGTTTCGGTGTAATATTCAATTATAATAATTATGGTTCGTTTTGAAGCAGTGTTGCTATGGTTTTGAATAAAATGGGATCCAAAGGAGCTTTTTTTAAATTTAATTGTTAATTGTTTCACTGTAAAATGATGCATGACCGTCAAAGTATGATGGAAAATATAAAGGTAGTTCTTCTCCCCTGAAATGTGAGAAATTAAAATTAATGTTTTAGTTATGTTTAGTGAAGCTGATATGATTTTAGTTAGTTTTCTTGTAATAATGACATTATTTTTTTTAATAATTAATAATTCTGACAAATTCAGGTCTCATCCTGTTACACAGTGGCCCCAAAAAGTATTGGTCATGTTCAAAAATGTCTCAATATCATTGCATTATAAAACAAAATATTACATATTAAGTGGCATCTGCAAACAAAAAACTAACAACCATATACATACATAGCCTACTTGTATATTTCAAAGTTGTGTGATATTTGTAAATACTTTTTGGGCCACTGTAACCGACTCGATACTGCCATCTACTGAAGAGTGAAAGTTCTCAGTCGAAGAAATCTAAGAAAGCTCTAATTACTTCACACTTCCAGATGTAGAAAGGGAACTGAACATTTTAAAGAAATGGTTTGATGCTAACAGGTTATCACTGAATTTAAGTAAAACTAAGTTTATAATATCTAATCGACAAATGGTTAAAGGGGTCATATGATGTTGCTAAAAAGAACATTATTTTGTGTATTTGGTGTAATGAAATGTTTATGCAGTTTAACGTTCAAAAAACACATTATTTTCCACATACTGTACATTATTGTTTCTCCTCTATGCCCCACCTTTTTGAAATGCGTCAATTTTTACAAAGCTCATCGTTCTGAATAGCGAGGTGTGCTGTGATTGGCCAGCTATCCAGTGTGTTGTGATTGGCCGAATACCTCTAGCGTGTGACGGAAATGTTACGCCCCTACCATATTGTGATGCCTTGTCCCGGCCGGAGCGACGAGACAAAACCAATAAAACCCATTATAAACGAGGCATTTGTTGCATCCAGTGGGGACATAATTATGGATTATAATGACTTATACTGTCTTTTTACGCGTTGCATCGCGCCGCGTAAACATAAAACCATGTCTGCATTTGTGATCGGAGAAATGACAAACAACAAGCGCTACTCTACACTGCTCAAAACTCGCATTTGAATCGTCAGTGGCAAATTCTTTAATATAAAAAACTTACTTGCGGTCTGTGAGTCAGAACAGCCGGCATTGTAGTCTACTCTACCAGGATCAGGAAACAGTCCTCCATAAAATGTGCTGCACACATCTGAATATTTGGGTTGAAGTGTTCTGGAACAGTGTTGTAAATACAACTTAACCACTGATTTCTAGTCGTGTCCTCTTTTGGAAGACCAAACAAAGTAGTTTCGCTTTCGCAACGAAACACACAGCATCTTCACAACATGGCGGCGGCAGCAACAATACTACAGCGAGAATAAAAGTTACGCCTTCTTTCTTTGCGTGAACATTTGGGCGGCGTTATGCAAATCTTCCCAAATCGTGACGTAGACATGTGGGGGCGTGTTAGAACGAGCTGTTTTAGGGGGGCGTGACTGACTCTTAACTTTTATAAAGAATATCTCTTTGGATTTGAGACTTTAGTCTTTGCAACTTTACAGATCTTCTTTATGCACCAAGAGCTTGTAACACTCCAGAGAGAAAGGAAAAATTGAAATCGCATCATATGACCCCCTTAAAGCATAGGAAATTTAGGATTAAAATGATTTTTGGGGTCATAATGGATCGTAACTTCTATGTTGGAAATCACATATTAATCATGTAAAAATTTAAATGCTGCAGTATTATATAAAACTAAGAATATATTGAATCAGAATTTGCCATATATTTTGTATCGTTCTCTCATAGGCCCACATTAATTATTGTGTGAAAGTTCCAGTAATTTTCACACACATTTTGGCTTTATGGGGACATTACCTAGATGAAATGACTTTTCTACTGTACAAACTGTATTTTCTATCCCCTCTCTCTACCCCTACCCCTCACATAAAACTCTGCATTTTTAGATTTTCAAAAAATCCATTCTGTATGATTTGAAGCTCGTTTCCTAATGGGGACCCCTTAAAAAACTGTCCCCCCACAAGGTCAAAATTGACTGGTATTAGTATTACTATCCTTGTGGATAGGGAATACCAGGACACACACACACACACACACACATCTTAACTATACCATGTATACCAAGTACAAAAATAATCAACGAAACAATTTTTAGCAAGAAAACACAGTAGGCTAAATATTTATATATACATGTATATATACTGTATAAAAAGAGCAAGCATATAGCATGTATTCTATAGACCGTCATATTGTATATATTTGAATGATATTGACAGAATGTTTGACAGGCACATCTCACCAGCCTCTTTATGACATCATACACAATACTTTCTTCTTTTTCTTTTTACTATTTAAGTGACAAACTTCTGCCTTGATCGCTTCAAGAAGACAAATTAGAAGTTTAAAGCAATTTTAACCGCACATTTTTGCATTTTACGATCTGCTTTATTTGCTCACGAAGCTATGAAGATGCTTCGCTCAAGAATCTCAAATTTACCATTTTTGGATGGAGCAGACGACATGTATGCGACCACTAACAAGAGCCACTTTAAACTAGCAGATGCCACCGTCAAGTCGAAAAGAGATGTTATCCTTCAGCCTGTCTCACCACTCTTCCAGCGTGGAGACCAGAAATCCCTGGCAAAGTACCAGACAGAGACAGCGCTGTCCTTCCTGTCTCATCCACCAGCCCCCGTCATCCAGCCAAACCTGACCCACCTCAAGATGCAGAGCACCAACTTTAAACTGCATTCAGAGGACAGGTGTGGAGACTATGAGACCACTCACTCGGAGTTAAAGCACCTGCCGATGTGTGCAGCCAAAATAATTCGTCCCACCACTGCAGTCAGGACTAGTCTGCCGGAGGGCAAATATCCTGAACCCTCTTATAGGTCTTCCTACATCAGACATAAAGTGTCCCAGATCTTCAGAGCAAAGCAATCGACGAAAACAGGTAAGTACTCGCACTGTCCAGTGTCCACTGACATTTTGTTTTTTATCAGTTGATATAAGATGCTTTTTTTGGTATCAATCAGGTGTCGGATCGAGTCTAATTATGGATAGAAGAGACCGGTTCAGATCCAGTTATCATGAGCAGTTCCAATACAGATGGTATCCTCGTCCTCAGTCCGCAGAGAAGGCAATTTTATATAAGTTGGCAGTGGTTTCAGAGAGCGCCAATAATGTTGCAGTTCAATAACATCTTTTTGTCTTTTATTTTAGCAACAAATTCAGTATCCATCTGTGGTGATAGGAGACCGAGAAAAGACAGTGGACAAACAAACAACATATTTCACCTAATTCGGACCGTCAGGTGACCACAGGTGTGTCCATTGTGCTTCTGTACGCAGCATAAACACACAACATGCACATTTTAATATTGTACCGTGTCTGATTGTATAAAACCTCACAAGAAAGCTCTATCAGAATCAGAAAAGATTTTTTTTTCAACAGCTCTGCTGAATTCAAGGAATGTCTGCTTCCCAAGATAAATCAATCTCGGCCCATCAACCTTCGGGAAGTTCCTGAAGACAAATGGACAACAAACTCATCTGAGGAATTTCGTGCACACAAATGTGGTATGTATGATAACTGCATGCCGTGTACTTTTTGTTCTTTAATGCAGAATATGGGACAGGGTTCTTATAGTTAACTGAAACTAAAATTAAAACCATTGAAGACATTGAAATAAACGTTAACTGAAATAAAATAAAATATCAACTTTTTCTTTCAGCTAGTTGCCAAGGCAACATTTCTCATTTTATTTAGTTTAAAGGCACAATATGTAAGATTTTTTTTATTAAAATATCCAAAAACCGCTAGAACAGTGTTATATATTTTGCTGACTTGTGTACTTGCATTATCCAAAATGTTTCGAAGAATGTTTAAATCCAGAGAAATAAGCAATTTTAACTAGTGCCACGGACCGTGTCCATAGTGTCATTGTGTCGCCTGCCACTGACGTCATAACCCCTCGATTTCCGGTTTTGTTTTGTAGAAAACATGGAAACACCAAAGACGCTTTAATATGTTGTGCGTTTTATTAGACAGGTGACGACTGCACAGAGTAGCATTATAACAGAACGTTCAAATGTATCTAGTATGATAAAACAGCGCTGCTTTACCCCACATACGCACGACCGGAAGGAGCGGAAGCGGTCGACTGTGGCATAATAAAAGCTCCGCTGCTTTCGAGCCGTGTGTCGCGCTCGTTCAGCAGCCTCGTTTCGCTTCAACGGCTTTCAGCCTCACCCTGCTTCATTCTACTACGTTAATAAATCATTAGCTGATCCATGAACATGATTTCTGCCCGAGCCCCGTCGGATTGCATCGGCTGTGGGGGCGAAGACCACAAGTCCCACGATTCCACACTCAGTCACTGCTTCATCAAACTACGCCTTTGTCTATTTGTTTATTTTGAATACGCGCCCTCTAGCGGCGAAAATTAGATGTTGTGCCTTTAACTTGATATACTAAAATAACTAAAACTGAAATAAAAAATAATAATTATATAGACATATAAAAACCCTAAAAACATCAAAAATGACAAAAACTACAGTTAAAATGAAAAAGGAAAATATAAAAAATTAAAACTATCGATAAAAGCTATAATAGTATTTCAATGTTACTAAAATAACACTGATATGAGAATGTAGTTTTCTCCTGATGCCGTACAGCAGTTTTCAAACTATAAATAAGTGAAAGCATTAACTTAATATTTTAATTACATGTAACATTTCAATGCATTTGT